GAAGGGTGGGTATCAGGAGTTGGCACAGTATGTTGCAGCATGAAAGGGATGCAAAACTTTGTGGTAGGATCAGGTTCCTGCAAATCAGTTACAAGTAATTGTTTCCCTTTTCATCTGAATCCATCTAAGCTTCATGTTGCTCTCACTGAGCCTTGTAACAGTTTGAGGTTTGCTGTGATTAGTTGTAGGGCTGATTATGGTCTGATTGCTTCATTCAAGTTGTCTGGACTGAGCTACTGCTGGTGACAGTAGGAAAATCTCCAGAGTGTTGTGTTAATCTTTATTAGAGCAGTAATGCCCAGCATGCACATCAGTGGAAGTTTAGGGATGACAATTACCATTATGTTTTTCAATGCTATAATACTTCTGTCCCACAAGCACTCTGGCTAACACATTTATATGACATTAAGTGGGAAGCCTCCTATGATTCATATTTGTTGTAAATATAATTTTTTTTTAATATTTCAGCAAATAATCCTAGAGAAATTAGGCATCTGTGGATTGTAAAGATCTGAATTAGTGAAAGTAATTTCCTAGAGTATATCAGATGTCTTACAGCTTCAGAATGCAAAGTTGCCTGCGTAGGATTCATCACTATTTTATAGCTTCCTTGAGTAAATCATGTAGCCTTGATTGGCCTCTGAATCAAGTGGCTGCAATTTCCATAAACACATATTTAGAATAAAACATAAAAATGTGACTTCTTAACTTGAGGTAGCTCTGTCTTTGTAACCCACCCAGCTCACTGTGTACAGATCTCTTGTAGTTCACTCTCATTTTATAGGATCAGCTGTAGTATATTTGTAATATTGTGAAAAGTTCACAGCTGCTCCTGGCTCTGATGAGAAGATGGTATAGAGGCCTCAGATTTGTTTTCTAATGTTGTGCTAAGTTTCTCCTGGAATGTCAGTAAGAGGGTGTTCTTTGCATCAGTTGTGTTCTGCTTGGGAAGAACATGTCAGTGCCCATACAAACCACTCACTGAACGTTCTGGGGACATGCTTTGGCTCCTGGGCCTAACCTCTGGGTGGTTACAGCAGCAAAAAGCCAGGCAGGTTATTGTACTTCTTAGCTGTTTTCATCATGGTTACATGATATGTAACTATTCCTCCCTCCAAAGAGAATGGTGATAAATGTATTTAATAAAAAACTAGGGCAAAATGCTCTGAATAAAATAATTATTTTATTACTGTAGCAATCTAATACAAGACAAACTTTTCACTGTAACAAAGTCCTTTTATTGGACATTGGGCTGGCAATGATCTCCTGACATAACTGTGTCTTCTCTTGTTTCTGTCTGCTGGGCAAGCAAGGATTCTTGTCTTCCTCTCTTCTCACGTGACAGATCTTCCATTTCCTGAATTGTTCTGTACCTTCCTTTTTAGTCTCATTAATCTTGCTGGAAGGTGGGTGATATGAGTACATGAAGTGCTCCCAAGTTGTTCCTTACAGTTTTCACCCAGGCTCAGTTGAGTGCTCTGTTTTCAATGGCAAGATTTGGCCTGTTTCATCCCAGTGTCCTGATTCCTCTTCTCCCCTTGGCTGCACCACCAGTCCCTCTGACTCCAGACCTTTTAGAAGTCCTTTTAGGTTCTTCATTTGCACTATTACCATCCTTTGGGGTGGTTGTTCCTTTGGAGCCCAGTTTTGCTGAAGTCTGTTTGGTATTCCGTTTTAGAAATAGTAATCTATTTACAAATTAAATATATTCTAAACCTTCATGTTCAAGTTCATAAGTTTTTCAGCCCAATTATTTTCAGTAAACAGTTACCATAGTTACTCAAAGATTCTTCTAAAATCAAGATCGAGCCCAATGTTTGTTCAGCATTTCATTTAATTTAAACTGAATCATATTATGTGCATTTGCTCCGAGGTTGTTTGGTCAACTCTTTTGTAATGTCCTTTTTGCAAATCACAATCACACTCACAATGGTGTCATTTCACGAGAACTGGTTAAATATTTGGGAAGGAAATTTGGCAGCTCTCACAGTAATGAATGTATGAATGCTAACAGGAACATTTAGTTTCCCCTCTCTGTGCAGAAAGTTAGTTCCTATCTTGATACAATTTCTAGAAGCAATAAAATTGAAAAGCTTTCCCATCAAATCCAATCCTAGAATGCTCTTGAAAATCTTGAGCAAACTCATTTGTTTGCTTATCATTCCCCAAAATTATTTTGGCTCAGACACATTCTGTTTTGTCATTTCTGTTGTCTCCTTGTTTCATAACACAAGTATATCTGTATTTCTGCACTTCATTTCTGCAATTTATTTTTATCACTTTTCATTATCATTTTCCTTAGATGTTTTCATCAGGTTCTTTTAAATGATGCATTAGACATGCAGGTTAATTATTAGTTATTCAGAAAGCAAACTCACACACACCAGTAAAATATGTCACTTACATTGTTTTGATATATATTAATTTATTTCTCTTTTTATTAGTTATATTCTTGTATATTCTTTAAGGAAAAGCTGTACTGCATAATTTCAACTATAAAATGTTATATTTGTGTAATAAATTCCAGCCCTTGCCTCTTTATATGCACTGGAAGTGATTTTAATAACATTATTTCTTTGGTGGCTTTTGCACCCAAAAACATGTCCATTCCTTCCCTCAGAGTTCCCTGAGCTGATCTCATAAAAGGTACTGACACTGCCTTTGTTATTTGGGGTAGAATGAGCAGTTTGCAAACGGCAGCAATTAACGTGAATTCCAAACTAACTCGTAAGGAAGAGTGAATTTAGTGGGTGAGCAACAGATTTTACCAGGTTGCAACAGAATTAGTATTAGTGGCAGATTACCTGTCCTCTGGAAATCCTGCCTTTAGCTCCTCCAGACAGCAGCTTGAAATCTTAAATCTCTGCTGAATGTGTCCTGTCTGGAGGGTGACAGGGAGCAGCTGTCGTGGTTCAGCTCAAGCTGATACAGTCAAGCATCTTGAGAACAAACCAGGATTTTGAACTGCAGGAGGGAATGAGATGCATCAGAGGCCTAAAGAAAAGTTTTCATATTGGTGGGAAAGGGTAATAATTGCATCAAAATTTGCACTTTTCTAATTCTAAAAGGTAACACATTTGTAGCAGTGTGTGGTGAGTATAAATTCCTGGAGATCCTTCTCTGTAACCAATAGGGAGGAAAAAAAAGGGATTATTAAAAATTATCCATATTTTGTCTTCATAATCTGAACAGTTGAGAGATCTGTTTGCAGTCTGTATTTGCACTCTGCTTGACAGGCCTGTTATTTGATGTTGGTTGCTGGGTTTAGTACTACTAAACAAATACACGAGGTTGTTCACCCTGTGTAGGAAGGTTGCAGTGGCCACAGTCAATCCAAACCCTGGTGGTCTTGCTCCTGATGGTGGATAATTTATGAATCATATATAAAAAATAAATCCTCTAACTGAATCCATCCTTTACTCTGTGTCATGTGCTGTAGGTAAAAGTATGCCTGTAAAAAAGCTTCTGCAGACTCTTCTCCAGGTGTTCCCTTCCCTTTGAAGGAAGGGAAGGATTCAATAAAGTCTGCAAAACTTCCATTTTTGGCCTGGGTCACAGCTAGTTTATGAGCAATCATTTTAAACTCCTTTCCCTGTTTTTTTTTCCTGCCTGTGAGATCCTGTGCCCATCATCAACCACTTTATAACATAAATGTACTTCCCTCTTCGAGTGGCCTGCCCTGAGAGGGAATGTTTTGGGGAGAGCTTTTGGGGAGAGGTCAGCAATTCTGCTCCTGGCAGTTATGTTGATTTGTGTTGCTGCTTATTTAATATGTTAATGAAACACAAGGAATTACAGTTTTATTGCATAGCTTTACAGGAGACACAGGGCACATTCTTTGCCTTTACACAAAGCACTTGCACAATCTCAGATGGCAAATTTTCCCCGTGTGGATACAGCCTGTTTAATTTAGGCTTCCTCTCCTGCTGTCTGATCCAATTCCTTGGTTCAGTCACTTCATAATATCAGGATGTTCCTTCCTGGTTTTCGGGAAGGTGCCTCTCACAGAGCTGAGCTGTTGGTGTGTCTGTAGCAGCTGGACAGCATCTGGAGGAGCTCCAGGCTAGGTCTGCACTGCTCGACTTTCCAGGAGGGCTGTTCCCTGAGCTGGGGGGGTCACTCGAACCCTTTTTGTGTGGTGAACAACTGTCACAAATGTACTTACTGTATTGCCACAGTGTCAAGAGCACCATTAAGGAAAAGTGAAGATTCAACACCCTCGAGAGGACGTGTGGATGTCACTGGAATTTATTCTTCTGCCTCTGAGTAGAAGACACGTGGGTATGAAGAGCTCTTTGCCAGTTGGGCTGTAGGACATTATGGCAGGAGAGTGAATTTGTGTGAGTATTGATTACTTCCGTGTGGGGACAGCTGATGAGGTGTTCAGCTTTTGTTATTCAGATGAATCAGCTGCTGGTCACTTTGTGCTGACTCACTGTCAGAGCTGGATGTGAGTATTTGGATGGATTTACAGTAACTTCATCCTTTCTACTCGGGGACACGCCAGTCTGCGGAACTGTTACACTCATTGTTCTGCTGTGTCAGGTAACAAAACATTCTGCTTTCTTTTCTTCTGCTCAGGAAGATCTTGCTTTCATTACACAGGTCAGAGCTCTTCAGATAAATTTCTGTCAGTTTTTCTCCCCACTAAACCTAAGTGACACATGTGGGTGTCTTTGGATGTAGTTGTAATTGGGACATGCATGAGAAGTTGTTTCAAAAATCTGCTTTACAGAAGACCAAAGTGGTTTTGGCTGCTGGGAACACATATAGAAACTCAAACACAGGGATATAGTAATGACTTTCATAGGGAATATATTTCAAATTAATTTTGGAATCTGAAGCTTATATGAAGACTTAACTGTCCTCTCCTTGTTAAGTGAAGGATCTCACTCTGGGCACATGGCACCAGCAATTAGAAATCAGATTTGACTATCTGCCAAACTAACCACAGTTTAATTATTCCAATCTTAACAAAATGAAATTTTTATATACTATTGTGTCATATACATTATTTATTTTGAATATACACATGCACAATACTGAATTTATCTAGATAAAAATAATCCAAATAATTTCACAGATGAACACATAGGATGTCCACATTTTAAATAGAAATATGTAATTAATATGGACAGTACAATAGTAGGAAATGTTCAACAGTGTTTCTTGGGTACTGAGCACCCTGCCATGACTGACTGTTTCTGTAGTTGTGGGTCTCAGTAGCTGAGCTGGGGAGGTTTGGCCACAGCTCAACGGTGTGCTCTTGCATTCCCATAAGGAAAAATGAGATGAACCTGGATAGGTCCAGCACGACTTCAAATTATCCATCTCGGCACTTCAAAATTCCAGTTTTTCCAATTGTTTTTGGTAGTGCTGGCTTTATTTCCAGATCACAACGTGGTCTCTGCACAGGTCCCGAGGTCCGGGCCAGACCTGAGGCTGGTCCCTGTGCCCGGGGCTGACAGCACGGCCAGCTGGCGCTCCCTGGGAATGCCGACGTGTGGGAACGGGAGGGCTCCTCGTCCTCTGCCACAACCGCTGCGGGAGGTTGGCTTGAAGGGCACTGCATGCCCGGGGAGGGCTTGGAGCGCCGGGATCCAGCGGGTCCCCGCTGGGAGCGGGAGCGGCGGCGAAGGGAGCGGCTCCAGCACCAGGGACAGCGGGCGGGGAGCCGGGAGCGGAGCGTGCAGCTCCATCCGCTGCATCCAGCGGGATGAGGGGAGAGTCTTCTGAACACTGACACCGCCGGAGCTTTAATTTGGTCCTAAGGCTGCTGTGAGTGACGTGGGACGGAGCAGCGGAGTGGAAGTGAAAGCACGGCAAGGAGAAGGCATCCCTGCCCTGCCCTTCCAGCCAGTCCAGCATGAAAACATCTGTCACTTTTCCTTTTTCCACATCATCGCTGTGTGCAGATAAGGATCCGGAACTCCTCAGTCCTCAGCCGCTATTCCCTGGAGGTGTGTTAGGTGGTTCTCTACGAACCAAGGTTCAGTTGTCCCTGAAACAAAGTGACAGCATTAGGGAGAGCACTTAAAAAAACCAGCCTCAAACTCTGCATTCCCTTGGAGAGATTTGGCTAAAGATGGATTGTGTGATAGCTCAAATCAGTTAATCAGCAACCTGGTCATTTCCATGAGTGATGAAATCAGTTCTCTGATGTTTTCTCTCAATAGTATAAATTTCTTAGCATGAAAGGGGTCTCTTTCACAGCAATAAATACATAAATGATAAGAAATACATAAAGTCAGAAATGAAAAGAGAAAAAAGACCAAAAAAAAGCACGTTCACAAGGAGAGTTCACAAAATAGGAGTTAATTATTACTTGTGGTAGGGTTTCTTGTATCCTGAACATTAAAAGAAATTAATAGGAAAAGGTATAAATTTGTCACAACAGTGCTAATTAACATTCTATGGTTTTTCACTCCTTTAATAGGTAATTTGCTGTAGTGAGAGCATTATGGATAAATGAGAATGAAGCTGCAATAGTATTTTCCTCAAATTTCTTAATTATTCATGAAACATGAATTTTCAAATTAATCTTTTCCTTTTTTACTAATTGAAGAGCAAAATACTCTGTTTCTTTACTACCAGGAAAACATTTGTTTGGCATGATCTTTTTTATATAATCTGACTAAATAATTACCACCTGCACTGTAAATTTTTGGTAATTGTTCTTGACATATCGGTATTAAAGCATTAGTCAGTTCATTCTCTACTTTTGTGCTAAAAATAAATAAATATTATTGTCCTGATTTAATCCAGGTACCTTCTATGCAAGCAACATATAAATGTACAGACTGGGACATGGTGGCACAACAACACTGTCCTTATGCAAGACTTGGTCTTTTCTAGATTCAGAGTTTGTTTTCAAGCAATATTACAAATAGAGTAAAAGTAACTTTTGATGTTATATTAGTAATCACAAGTTGTGGGGCACAAATACTGTGATTCCTTAGAGGGAAAAACTGCTGTCATTTGTTGCATGTCCATTCCTAATGAGATGGCCCTGTGCAATAGGACAAAAACCAGAATTTGGATCTGTACATCACAAGCTGAGACCTCCTGCTTAGAAGTTCCAGGAGATGACTTCATCAAAGGAAGGGGCTCAGTTGTTGGGACACACGAGTCCCTACTTTGAGGCACAAAAGAGAAACACTTGGTGCTTCAAAAGGACCTGTGAAGTCATCAGAGATGGTGATAGAGTGTTTTTGCTTTGTGTCTTTTTGTTTCTCCCTGAAAGGTGAGGAATTTATATTTTAATGGAAAAGTTGAGTTGTTTAATGGCTTAATCCATCTTAAAAACGGGAAAGAATATGAACTTTAAAGAAACAAACAGGGCAAGTTGGAACCTCAAGTGTTGAAAAGGAGGTAATTCAACCAAATAAATTGTCTGTCAGAGGGAGTTAAAATTAATCCCTGATTTATTTCTTTTTTCTGAAAGGGGTTGTGGGCCATGTTTCTAAAACAGAGGTTTGAATTAATAATGGAAGGAGAAGTTACCAGCAAGTATCGGCCTGAGAATGGGGAGAAAGGGTAGAGCGTGGGGCTGCTCTTACCTGAAAGGGAGGGCAAGAGGGTGATACATTCCATGATACCTTAGGGCTGGGACAACTGAGAAAAATCTGCTTGCAGGGAGGTATAAGAGTCTCTGCTTTCTGCACTCTGACCTTCCATTGTCCCTTGCAGAGCATTTGAAAGGATTGTGCAGTTCCCTTGATCTATTTAAGAGAAGGAAACTGTGTCAAATCTCTCCAATCCCAATCCAGCTGTCTTTCAGCTCACATCTATATTACAGCAAGATAGTGTGATATAAGACAAACCCCCTAATGTATTTTGATTAATTAATACTGTGTTAAACATTAATGCACAGTCTCTTTGGATAAGGACAATTGTGTTTGCAGTAACAGACTCATGAGCAACTCACAATACTTCTGACACAGCAGCTCTTGCACACAGTGGATGGTCAGTAACTTCTGCCAGTGTTATTCAGTGATTAGTGCTTTCCTGCTGACTTGACTTCAAGTTCATTTAAATAAGGTCTTGAGGCCTGTATTTGCCATTATTTCAATACAAGTGCAACACAAGGGTTTAGTGGCAAAGCCACAGAATGGCACCTCAGGAAACTTCTGCAAGGGGAGGCCACTTTTCTCTGACAGTCATTAATTTTTGGGACCCACGATGTCCAGCAACAGAAGTTCTTTTTGTAGGAGCTCTGGCATTTACAATAGGTTTTAAAATTTAGTTTGATTGCTGATGTCAATTTTTAAAACTTCCTAACAAAACCATGAAACTATCTAAACAGAAGCAGGCTTTGGATTCCAATTTTGTGGTGATGTTTTTTTAATGTGAAATCTTTATGATAAGGAAAAATAAAAACTGCTCCAGAAAAATAAACCCACAAAACCAAACCAAGCCCTGGGGCATATAACCCTGAGAATTTCTTGCTTCTGCTCGCTACAATGCTACGATGTTTTTCCCATGCTTTCCAGAGTAGTATGAATATTGAAGTTGGCAGGTGTGAGCTCTGTTAAGAGAGCAAAGAGAAAAAGAGGCAGAAGAAATAGTTGTTTTGCAGCCCTGCAGCAGTCGCTGTTTGCTTTGGTCTCTCCTTTGCACGTGGGTAATCCTGAATCCAAACTTGCTGCCTGGGAGATTAGTGCCTCTGCCCCCCTTGCAGGATGAGATATTTGTTCACTGCTACACTTGAGCTGAGAGTATTTACTAAGGCAATCAGTGTTTATGTAGAGGTGATAGGAGCCTCATTAAACTGGTGAATGCACAGATCAGAGGAACAGGTGTAAATATATCTGGTAACTTTAACTTACTCAAACTTGCATTCCACTGACTCTGCAGTAAATTACAGAGTTTTTTCCTTTCTGAAGTGGGTCACGTGCCCCTCTGCTGACCCTCTCAGAAAACAGGTATGACCAGCAGCGGTGCAGAGAAGTGTCAGGAATAAATATGTAATAGTATGTGCTGTATTTCAAATACAGGTAATGTACCATCAGTATGACTGTCCCTGGTAATGTTGTCATTTGTATGACCATGATCATGGATGGCCCTTAAATAAGGTGTTTCTTGTATACTATTAGTTCCTTCCAGGCTCCCTTCTGTCAACTACTCTGGTGTCCTCCTCAGAGTTTATCTAACCTTGCCAGGTTCTGACCTTACCTTCCCAAGTTCACCTTCAGTCCATATTTACTTTAAGGGGAAGAGTCAACTTAGACGTGGTTGTATTTTGGAAGAAAAATCTGCTGTGTTTTTTCTTAAGCAGGAAAAGTATCAGTTTAAGTACTGGTCAGCTTGGCAGCAAGAAGAATCCGTGAAGTGCTGAGGCTGTGCAATGAAGAGCCTGGAAGAATTAACCAATTCCTGTCACTTCAGAGGTTTTCTGCTCCCAAAGTACTAGGAAGAGATGAAAAGGTATTTATTATTTACATATATAGAGATGAAAAAACAATACCAGTTTCTCAAACCCAGCAGCAGCCTATCTCAAACAGATGCAACTCAATGACTTTGTCATGCTTTGTCCCTTCAAAAAGCTATTTCTGCATGCTGTGGGAGTGCCTCAGGAAGGGAAGGAATGAAGCTATTGTAAATATAAATGCCAAAATGTGAATATGAATTAAGGTAGGATTGAATAAGTTGTTTTTCTAAATGAATAATGTACAGGCACGTTTCATTCTTGGCCACTTACTGTTTGCACTCCACACAGGAAAGCAAAACCCAGCATCCCAAACCCAAACAAAAACCCAAACAGAAAGCTGGCCCTGCTCGGTGGGGAAACAGTAGTTGCACGTGTTAAAAAAATAAATAATGAAGGTTTCCACAGCAACCCAAGTTCTGTAGTGCAAATCGATGACTTTTGTTCTGTTTTATTATATAATCAGAGAACAGATATTCTATTAAAAGTGTTGGATACATCTCCAGTTATATTGTTAAAAAGTTTGGTGCAATCCTAAAACTTCACGTCACGGAATTTATTTACCAAGGTTTCTGAAAATGCTGAATAAAAAGTGTTTTCTTCCCTCAGCTTTGGGGAGGCTCTGACCAGGGCAAGGGCACTGCTGTGGCACAACATTGCAGGGGTCAGAATTTCAATTGCAGGGAAACTTTTGTAATACTTATTCCAGTTTTTCCTTTGCCGCGAGGAATTAAAGTTCAGGTTTTACGGAAAGAAACGGAAGATGAACTTGAAATGTAAAGAGTGTTTCAAGTTTTGGGCAAGCGCTCGTTGCGGAAACTGCGCGGATTTTGCTGGCTCATTAGCAGCTTTGGAGATTAATAAAAACAACAAGAAAATGAAACCACGGCACAGGCCGGATTTGGGTGGTGGGGTCGATGATGACTTTGTTTAGCGCTGACGGCGGTCGCTGGTCCCGGGGCTGAGCGCACCGGGCAGGGGTCGGGCTGGCCCCGGTGGTGACAACCACGACCGCGCTCGGTGCTGCACTGCGGCCTCCCGGGGATGGGATGGGGATGGGATGGGATGGGATGAGAGGTTCTCCCAGGATCGGGATCGCTTCCCCCCCCCCCCCCCGGTCCCCTCACGGGCCACGCGCCGCCGCCCACGCGCCTCGCGCCCGCGCGCGCCTCGTGCGGCCGCGCGGGGCTGAGGGAGGCGGGGGGGGAGCGCGAGGGGGGGCGGCGCGGTCCGCGCGTGCGCGCCGGGTCCGCCGGGAGCGGGGGGGGCGCGGCAGCCGCGAGTCCTCCGGCGGCGGCGGCGGGAGCGGAGGAGGCGGCGCGGGGCGAGCAGCGGCCGGGGCCGCCCGAGCTCCGCGGGGCCGCCGCCACCGCAGCGCCGCAGCCCGCGGGGGGCCGCGCTACGAGAGGCGCCGGGCCGGCGTTGCGCGCCCGCGGGCGCTGAGGGGAGCGGCGCGGCGGCGGCTGCTGCTGCCCGGGCGAGCGGGCGGGCGGGCGGGGGGCGATCTCCCCCCCCCCCGCCCCCAGGCAGCGGCGGAGCGGCCCCCGAGCGCGGCCCCGGCCGGAGCAGCCGGCGCGGCGCCCCCGCGGAGCGCGGGGGGAGGAGAAGCCGCCCCCGCTCGATGAGCGGCGCCCGCCCGCCCGCCGCGCTGTGCCCGGGGATCGGCGGCCGCGGCCGGCGCGCCCGGCAGCATGTGGAGTCCCACCGAGGAGGAGAAATACGGCGTGGGTAGGTGCTGCCGCAGCGCTCCCCCGCCTCTCCCCGCCGGACCCCGCGGGCTCGGGGGTGGGGGGCGGCTCTTCCCTCCCGCGGGGGTCGCGGCGCTGCCCCGCAGGTGGGACCGGGGGTGGGTTGGCGGGCGGCGATGGGGCTGCGGGGGCTGCCCGGGGGGAGCGGCCCCGGCGGAGCCTGCCCTGCCCTGCCCTGCCCTGCCCTGCCCGCCCGCGGGAGGTGCTGCCTGTGCTCCCGTGCTCCCCGCGCGCGGCCGCGGGGGAAGCGGAGTTTGGGGGCCCCGCGCCGGGGTCGCGATCGCGCAAATAATCAGAAAACGAGTCGCTGAGCCCTTAATCTACTTAAGCGCGGTTCCCTTTTCCCTGCGTTCCCATCTGCGGTGCGTGGAGGGAGTTGGGAAGGGGCCGCGGTGTCTTTAGGGGGCGTCGGTGCTGCACCTGCCCGGGGAGGAGGGGGCGGCCGCGGGGCCGGGGCTGCGGGAGCCGGGAGCGACCCCGGCCCTGGGCCCTCCGGGGTTATTTTTCGTTGTTCTGGTAAATCAGATTTTACACTCGTCTGGCATCGCGTTTGCTCTAATCTGAGGCATCCCCGCTGGCGGCTTTGGTTTGTTATTTTAGCGTGTAAATCCCTGATAGGAGCAGAAATGTTACGTCTGATGAAATGGAAGGCGCAGACTTTCTTTTGCTTCACTTTTGCTCGTTTTGATTTAATTTTTTTAAGCCGTTGGCTTGTATAACAATTAAAGCCGGTACTGCTGCCCCGATTAGTTACCTGAATGCCTCATTAAATTTATCGTTATCAATTGTGCATATTGATTTTTAAGTTCCACAACGTGTAGTGATGATCGATTTCTACAGATACTTAAAAAAATACAAACAAATTTCATACAAAGATCTGTTAACCTGAACTGTTGAAGTGGGATTTTGGCCACAGAATTTTAAGCAATTAATAGCTTTAATGCTTTTTTGTTAGAATTCTTTCGGTTGATTCAGTAATTAGAAAAAAAAGTTGTTAATTTTTCATCTTGAGCAACAAATATTTTGCTTAGTACATCCCACATATCTCCATAACGAATAGAAGAAGAGATTTGCATGTGTTTAAAAAAAAAAAAATCAAATGCAGCGTTAGGTGGGAACCTGTCAGTGCAGGGAAATATATACAAGTGGCATAAAATAACCCAGGGAAGTCGTTACTTGAAATCCTGTTGCTCTGTCAGTCAGTGGGAGTATATAAAGTTAACAAGCCCTGTTACACCTCGGCTGGATGCTCCAGGAATATGAAGTATCCAGACTTTCATACCTCAGCTGCTGGCCAAAGGCCACTTCTGTTGTCCCAGTACTAAACTTGCTGCTAGAATTGAAACGGATGCTTCAGAAAATAATTACCCGTTTTCCAAGTCTTGTTGGTTTTCCTCTGTTCTGGTTACGTAGCCAGTTATCTTTGCTGTGCTGAAGGGTTTGATGTTCAGTGTTGTGTTTGTTTGTGTTTGGCCCGTGTGCATAAAAAAAAAAAATAAAGCAAATACTTATGTTACCTTGATCCAAAAGTAGGTGAACTAATTTTTTTTTCTTTATGCAGACGTTTGGGAGGAAAAGCTGGGAAATCTCCATTCAGGTTGTAAACAAGTCAGGAGGAGGCATAGGAAGGGAGAGCAATGAATGAAAACAAGCCTTGTTTCAATGAGTGTTCTGTAGTCTGAGGATTATTCCCCTAAGGATGGAGATTTTTCTTTTGCAGGCAGCACACCTGTAGGTAGGGCCGAGGTAATGGCTGAGTCATAAAAGTTTTGGTGATCTCCAGGCAAGTTCTTCTTGTTCTTGCGTAGCTTTAATTACTTTTCCTGTAATTGAAATTTGTTGATAATTCTCCAGAGAGAGGGAAACAGGTGAAAAATGCAGGTTATATCTGGAGTTTAGTTACTAGAGGTGGGGAGAGGAGTGCTGGGTTTTTAAAAGTCGATCTGTCATTGCTGGCTGGAGTATGCAGTTTTGGAGAAAATAGTCTGCAGAAGGTGTAGACCTGAGGGTTTGCTGTTGGGAGGGACACTGAGGGAGAGGAAAAAAAAAAAGGAAAAAACCCAGATATTTCTTTTCCCAGTGTGAATTATCCTGATTTCACAAATAAAATAATATATGCTAAAATATTTTTCTTGGCATGAGTCACTGGTATGAGCTTATGCCTTGGGCTTTAGTAGTTTGGTTTTGGTAAGAGCACTCTCTGTCCAAAAAAAATGCTGTGTGTTTTCTCCATGAAGAGTTTTAGATTTGACTTTGGATTAAGGCAATACACTTTCTGTCCCTGTTGGTGTAAGGTAGGTGGGGAAAAAATTCAGTTATTTCTGCCCTGGAATACCACCAAGAGCTTTCTGGTGGAACGGAAGGGAACGTCTGGGCATCCAGGCCCTGGACATACCTGTTCTTGTGTATCAAGGAAAGCGAAAGTATCACATGAAGTAGTTAATTCTGATGCTGTTCTCTTTGTTGAAAGTCAGTTGGGATCTGTGGTGTTGTCTGATCTACACAGCTGATCAGAGGTGATAATTCATAGGAGCTGTTCCTTCAGAAACACACCACGTTTCCCCCCTCAGCACGTGGGGATAGAAGGGCTTTGTGTTCTGCACTGGCTTCCAAGGAGTATCAGGCAAAGGCATTTCTCATGTGCTTGCTGGAGCCCCTGAACAGATATTCCTCTGCAGCCACAGGCCCTTGGCTGCAGGGGAACATGTTGAATTTACTGCTGGGAACATCAGTGGCTTTGGGGAGGTTCTGAGGTTCTCTGGGCCTGTCTGCCTGCAGTTAAAGAAGTTTTCCATGCTTGCAATTGTAGAATGCCAATGTATTGCCCAGTTCTCACACAGATCATTGTATATATCTAGACCAGAGATGCTCAGGATATTTCTAAATAAATTAAACACTCCCCTAACAACACTGAAGTTCTTCCTTGATCTTATTTCTCAGCTACTATAGCAACTACCTGGGAGCTGTTGTGAGTAATGCCCCTCTATTTAGAAATACTTACATTCAGTGCTTCTAATCCTAGCTCTGCTTTTAAAACTTGAGACCTGATGATGAAAAGCAGACAGTTCTTCCACAGGTGCTTAAGGTGGCCAGTTATGGACACAGTAAGATTTCTGAACTGATTATTGAAGATAACTCACTCTCTAGCCCTCTGTTGTTTTAATATTTTTAAAGCAGTCTCTGTCTCTAAGAAATTATTTATTGAAGTGATCTGATTAGTTGCTTTAGTCGTGTAAAGCAAGTATTAAATAATAATGCATTAAAAAGAAACAGCTAAGCAGAGAGAACTCTTTAGTAAATAACATTTGAGAGCTGATTATTTCATCAGCTCATCAGGCTGTCAGTTTTTGCTGTTATATTTTTGTGCAAGGAGCAGGTTTAGGTGGTTCTCAAGAAAGTTGTTGTTGTTTGGGGGTTTTTTGTAGTTGATGCTGTACTTTGTGTGGCTGACCATATTAAATATGTATGTATTGAATCACAGAGGAGAATAAAAACCTGCCTGCATAAACAGCACCTGTTTTTAGTTTATTCAAAGAATTAGTGTTAAAATCTGTTAATAGTTTCATTTAAAATGCATTTTTTTATCTTTGCTTTCGCTACTTAACTTGTAACAATGAAAAATAAATCCATAAACACAAATACATGTAGCTAACATTTCCCCTGTTCCCACTAAGAAAGGTTGGAACATCATAATGTCCTAGTTACAGTTCTGTACTGCAGCTTCTGCTTTTTGATCAGTATCTTGATTTTTGATATTTATTTTTTTCCCCTGTCAGTAAACCTTGGCTTGCACATTTCCCAATTCATATTTGAGTTTGGAAGAACAGGGCTGCAGAACTTAGAGAAAGTCTTCCTTCCCTCCCCGAGGCTCCTGGTGTGTGACTGTCCTTACCTGTTCAGGCAGAAGGAGCTGCTGAAGGAGGAGGGCTCTGATGATACTGTGGTTTCCCTGGGTCACTGAGGTGCTTTGTTACAGGTTTAAAATGAAAAGTTTCAGAGAGAGAGAGAAAAAATTAGGAAGAAGTCCATTGTTGATCTGAGACACGATATCAATCCCTGGGACTGGGTTCTGTGTTGTGGACATGGATTATATTTCATCTTCTCTCCTGTGCCCCAGTGCCAGAATGTGTAATTGTCTGGCAGCAGGAGGGAGGTGACTAAGGATATTCTTCAGGGATCTGTCTTGGAAGCAAAGCAACGTGGAGGGATGTGCTTGGAAACCTTCTGTGCTACACTGCTTAGGGAGGTGATGGTGATACCTGGGGACTTGCTTGTTAGTCAG